ATCCAAACTATTTTTCTAAAAATTATGCTAGCACTATAACCCAAGGGAACATATGCTTAACAGAAATGGTAGAAAGTTGTAGAACAAATCAAAGTTGTAAAACAAATGATCATTTTAATAGTTTTATTAAGTGATACATTATTTTGAAATGAGAAATTAAGGCCTAGGATATATGTCATGAATTCCCTATGTCACAAAGGTAAATCTTCCTCAAAATTTTGATAGAGTAATAGGACTACTGTGAAATGAAGTACACTTTGATCAATAATGGCAGGAAAAATTAAAACTAACAAAAGAAATATTTTTTTTAATTTTTTTAATATTTATTTATTTTTGAGAGAGAAAGAGAGAGACAGAGAAAAGCACAAGCAGGGGAGGGTCAGAGAGAAAGGGAGAGACAAAATCCAAAGCAGGCTCCAGGCTCCGAGCTGTCAGCAAAGAGCCTGATGCGGGTCTCCAATTCATGAATCACTAATCACAACCTGAGCAGAAGTCAGACACTTAACTGACTGAACCACTCAGGCATCCCCTCAATAGACTTTGTTACTGAGAATCTTATGCGTATTATATCTAGTTTTACAGATGGGGCAGCAAAGGCCCAGGTATTTTAATCAAAATCACACAATCTAGTTAATAGGATGAGGAAGGAGGGAGAAGAAAATGAACATAAATTGATGTTACTATGTCCCAGACATCATGATCGGTACTTTATGTAAATTATCTAATTTAATTTTCAAAGCAACTGTAATAGGCTGAATACTGGTCTCCACAATATCCATATCCTAATCCTCAGAACTTGTAAATGATACTTGATAACAAAAAGAGACTTTGTATATGTAATTTAGCCAGGGATTTTGAGATGAATTCAGGTGGGCCTGAATCACAGAGGTTCTTATAAGAGGGAAATAGAAGATCAGAGAGGAAGCATATGTGAGTTTGGAAATGAGGTAAAAGTGGAGAAGAGGCTTGAGCCAAGGAATATAGGTGGCCTCTAGAAGCTAGAAAAGACAAGGAAATGGATAATCCCTAACAACCTCTAAAAGACCAGTCCTGTCAACACCTTGACTTTAGCCTAATAAAACTGACTGGAGACTTCTGGCCTCTAGAACTGTAAGATAATAAATTTGTGTTATTTTAAGCCACCAAAATCATGGTAATTGTTATAGCACCTATAGGAAATTCATACAGCAGCTCAGCTGGGGAACTCGGGTAAGGGTTAGGTAATTTGTTCAATATCAGAATACCTCTGTAATAGGAAGTTCAATGTGGGGCACCTGGGTGGCTAATAAGTGTAGTAATACATGTACCAAAATAAAAAGTATAAGTAGAAAAATACTAGGAACAAGAATTGAAAATTAAAAGGAGAGATAAATCAGTTATTTACTGTGAAAGATACTTGGTTATACATACAAATGAGGTGGCAGTTAGATACCTAGATTCCCATAATTAACAGTGTGCTAAGAAAAGAAAGTAAGCTGCCTCATTTTTAACCATACCATCTAATTAAAATGTTAATATATCTCTGAAACAGAACTGATAAGATAAAAAGTTAAAGTAACAATAGGAACTCAGCCTAAATGGTAAGATCAAAATCAAGATGACTGAATCACTCTCCTCTGCATCTCTCATTCTTACATTCCTCAATCAGGTACTTGACCAATAGAATAGCCTCATCAAAGATTTTCTGAATTGCTGTATGGATTAATCAGGGGGGAAGGAAGGGAAGAAAAAAGTAAGAGTAATAATGATAAACATTATCCAGATAGTTATTTTCTAACTTCAGTCTGCATAAGAATAAAACCTAAAAAGTCTGCTTAAACCAACCCTAATTCTAAGTTATTAGTTCTTGGATGAGTCCAAAACCTACATTCCAACAAACACCCCACAGATGACCTTTATGCAAGTAATTCGTGGCCTCTAGAACATCATTTCCAAAGCTGGTACCACTCAGCACTATATGATACAATAAAAAATGGTCTTGAAAAAAGTGCTCTTTGATAAAATAGGTTAGGAAAAAGTTAAAGTAATCATTATTCTAAACAGTAGTGTTTCTCAGACCTTGAGTATACATCTGAATTCCCCCAAGAAAGAAAGTAATCATACTGTATTTCCTAAAATTACTGGCCATAGAATCCTTTCTTGTGTTTTACCCACACATATCTACAAGAAGACTAAGACTTTTACACAAGAAAACAAGAGACAAATAATACAGTAAAAGGAATTGGAATAAATTAGAAAATTCAAAAGCTTCCTTATAATTCCAGGCTGTAAGAACAAACAAGTAAACTAAAAGAAAATATGATCCTCTTTTATCTGAAATAATACTAAACTATGGACACATAAATATCACTATAATATGTACAAAATTTCCGTCTCTGGTTAAAGATGATAACACTGGTCCTAAAGATTTCTTTAAACAGTAAAGAAAACGATGTTTCATAAAAGGATAATCTTTGCAAACACAGACACATGCTTTACTCGAATATCTTAATAGCCACATTGAAGTTATTGGCATTGAAGTTACAGAAAATGTATTAGAAATGAGCAGGCTTAGGGCGCCTGGGTGGCTCTGTCGGTTAAGTATCTGACTTCGGCTCAGGTCATGATCTCACAGTTTGTGGGTTTGGGCCCTGTGTCGGGCTCTGTGCTGACAGCTCAGAGCCTGGATCCTGCTTCAGATTCTGTGTCTCCCTCTCTCTCTACCTCTGCCCCACTCGTGCTCTCTCTCTTTAAAAAAAATAAACATTAAAAAAATTTTAAGAAACAAAGAAAGAAAGAGAAAGAAAGGAAGAAGGAAGGAAGGAAGAAGTGAGCAGGCTTGAAGGAAAATTCTCTCTAGTTCATTTGTAAACAAAATGTATTTGTGAGGCCAAAAAAAATTGTTTTAAACTAATGGGAATTATAAATAAAACAATTTCAAGTTGATTAACAGCATTGAAACACAACTATTTAAATTATCTGGGAGACAATTTCCACATCTGTTTCCTCAATTTCAAATAAGCTCATAACACAAACTGAATGAAATACTCGAAGTAACTTCTCTTATGATTAGATTAAATGTGTTATTACAGATTAAAGAAAATTTTTGAGAAAGCTGTTACTTTAAGGAAAAAAGAAAAAACTCTCTACAACTAAACAGGTAACAACAAAACAAAGGATGACAACTAACCCTAAAAATAGCTACATCTTGGGATGCCTGGGTGGCTCAGTCTGTTAAGCATCCGACTCTTCACCTCAGCTCAGGTCTTGATCTCAGGGTCATGAGCTCAAGCCCAGCCACTGGACTCTGTGCTGGGCATAAAGCCTACTTAAAAAAAAAAAAAAAAAAATCTACATCTCCTTCAGGAGGAGGCAGATTTTTCAAAAGTGTCTGCCTTGGTTCAGAGTCAGAAAGTAAAAAATGTCTCCCCAGGAATTCATAACTGCAAGCCAGCCTTCACTGGATTGGGGCAGAAATTGACACTATTTATATAATGGAAAAAGACACACACACCAAACTTATTTAAAATGGTCTTAGGTTAGGGGTGCATGGGTGGCTCAGTCGCTTAAGCAGCTGACTCTTGATTTTGGCTCAGGTCATGATCTCAGAGTTCATGAGATTGAGCCCCATGATGGGCTCTGCACTGACAGCATGGAGCATACTTGGGATTTTCTCTCTCCTATCTCTCTGCCCCTCTCCCCACTAACTCTCTTTCTCTCTCTTAAAATACATAATAAACAAACATTTAAAAATAAATAAAATAATAAAATGGTCTTAGGTTAGTACACCTCACCGGCACCTGGTAATAACAAATATAAATACTTTCTGGAAGAAATTCTTTGAACTCTAACCTCAAAAATTTTGTGATGAGAAATAGACTAACAACCTCATAGAAAAATCGGAGAAGACTTGCATTTACATTTCCTAATAGATAAAATACATAGATACTCAAAGTCATTAGTATTGAGACAAATACAAAATAAAATGATATACTATTTTACATGTATTGCATTGGAAAGCATTAAAATATTACACAAAATAAGTTTAGGGAACAATAGTAAGATTATTCATTGCTATGAATATAAACTGGTTTAAAACACAGTGGAATTAACTAGCAAAACTGAAGACGCACATATCCGATAACTAAGCAAATGAACACCTTGGTATATATCCTAACTCCTTGTTACCATGCTGCAAGAGACATTTACAAAAATATTCAAAACAGAGTTGTTTACAAAAGAAAAAAGATAGAAACAAAATTGCCAATCTAAAGAACAAAACATATGATCTATTGTTTTAATAAAAAATACTACACATTATTAAAAATAAATGAACTGTAACTACACAGATCAGTATTTATGAATCTCATCAACAAAATTTGGTTAGGGGCACCTGGGAGGCTCAGTTGGTTGAACATCTGACTCTTGATTTCTGCTCGGGTCATGAGCTCATGGTTCGTTAGTTCAAGCCCCTCATTGGGCTCTGTGCTGACAGCACAGAGCCTGCTTCAGATTGTTTCTCCCCCTCTCTCTCTGCCTCTCCCCTGCTCAAGCTCTCTCTATCAAAATAATAAACTTAAAAACAAAAAAACAAAACAAAAAAAAAAAAACTGGCCAAATTAACAAATACCAAAAGGAAAAGCCTGATTCCATTCATACAAAATTTAAAAACTGCAAAACTATGTATTATTTACAAATACACATTTGGAAAGTCATTACTAAAAAAAAAAAAGAAAAGAATGAGAAATACAAAGTTGAGGAAGGAGGTGATCTGTGTGCTAGCCAGGTAAGAATGAAATTACCAAGGGATTCACAGGGGACATCAGGCTTTGTTACTGTTTATTTTTGAAGCAGGTCAGTGGATACAGTGGGTATTCATTATTATTATGCTTTAAGTTGAATATATAAAGCATAAATTCTCAGTTATGTATGGTATATTTCATAATGTAAAACAACAAACTGGCCTCAGAATTTTGCCCTCAGAAGTTTGTGATGATTATGATAAACAGGGAAAAAATTACCGTATTTCTTATTGGAATCTTCTTGGGTTCTGGGGGCATGTCCTGTGGAACAAATTTCACTGGTTCCTTAATCTGCCTCCTTGATCGTTTGGTACCATCTGGTAAGGTTTCCATGGCCATGTCTGCTTCCATGTCACTGCTCCCTGCCTGGTCACATTCTGAACACTGCCTATATAAAGAAAAAAATGTAAGTTCATACGTTTATTTTTATCTTCTAGTGTTACCTATGGTTTCTATTAATACAAAATTCAGGTAGATGTGAAGAATATATGAAACTATATACAAGTATGTGTGACCACAGGGTATACAAAGACTACATACAGAGACGTACACACACTCCTATAAGAATGTCAATAGTAAATGTATAAAGCAATTCCATGTACTCTGTAAGTATCATAAGAACACATGCAATAATGCTACATGTTTAAGTAAACCCATGTAAGAGATTTCAGCACTGGTGGCACAGTCCAAAGCAACAGAAATGTGTCTCTCCACCTAGAAAAAAACTGCACTGGCAGATTTTGTTTAATACAATTATTTTAGAACTATGGATTCTACTGAAGGCTTGTAAATTCCAGGGAAAGGCTAGCACAGGTAAATCACCATCAATTTCTGTTAATTTCATTTCTCAGCAGTCAAAACTACCCAACCTCCAACCAAGCCACATGGCAGGCAGTTGTGCACATATTCCTGCAGTGGCTTACGTAGTCAGTAAGAACCAGGATAGCCAAAACAAACCATGTCCTCCAAATATTGGGAATCCATACTCTGATTGGGAATTACTGCTTCTGATCACAGAAGTACAAAGAGGTAGGTGTGTGGTAAGGACCCTCCCTAAAGAATTTAGTGGAGGCTTCTCAGAACAAAGGAAGGCAATGTGACCCAATCAACTCCTATACAGGTATGTATAGTTCTGACATGACTCTGTAACTTGAAATGTGTCCAATCAGACTATATGTGTCACCACATATGGGAGACAAAGAAGTAGAAGTTGCATAAAAGGCTATACCCTGCTGCACTTGGGACTCAGCCTTTTTGGGATCTTAACCCGCTGAGCCCAGGTGGCACAAATAAAGCTGCTTCCTAGAAAGAGGAACCTCAGAGTTCCATTTCTCTGTGTAAGAACCCTGCTATATGTGACCCCCCCACTTGGCCTGAAATGACTTCCACTACTTAAAAGACCATTGTCATTTATTTCCACCTTCATTTTTCTCTTTGTCCTCTTTTGGGAGCCAGACATTAAAGATATAGACATTCAAAACATAAGTGCTTATACAAGAAAAATTAGAAAGTGGCCACCCTTGCCCAGGGAAAGGTTTAGAAAACATATGAGAACACTGCAAGTTTATACCTCAGTCTGATCCTTAGCAGAGAGATAGCACACTATAATAAAAAACAACAAACAAACAAAAACAGTAATAAAACAGCAAATGCTGGGAATGGAGAAAATCTCATTTCTGAAGTTATTACATTATTAAACTCAAATGTCCAGTTTTTGACAAAAACCCCACAAGAAATAGGAAAAGGAAAGTATGGTCCATTAAAAGAGAAAAAAAATTTAACAGAAACTGTCCCAGAAAACCTGATGGCAGATCTACAAGACAAAGAATTATTCTTTAAATGTTCAATGAACTAATAGAGATTGTGGGAAAAGACAAGAAACAATTTATGAACAAAATGGAAATATCAATAAAGACACAGAAAGCCTAAAAATAAATGAAAAAGAAATTCTGTAAATGAAAAGTATAATAACTGAAATGGAAAATTTACTAAAAGGATTACAAGGGTAGATTTCCAGGGGCACATAGATGGCACAGATAGTTAAGAGTCTGACTTTTGATTCCAGCTCAGGTCGTGAGAATGAGACCCGCATTGGGCTCCTTACGGACAGCACAGAGCTTGCTTGGGATTCTCTCTCCCTCTCTCTCTGCCCCTCCCCTGTTTACATGTTCTCTCTCTCGAAATAAATAAACTTTACTTAAAAAAAAAAAAAAGGCAGATTTCCAACTACACAACTTATCCTCACACCTAAAGGAGCTAGAAAACAGCAAATAAAGCCTAAAGTCAGCAGAAGGGAGATAATAAAGATTAGAGCAGAAATAAAACATATAAAAACAAACAAACAAAACAGTAGAAAAGATCAACAAAACCAAAAGCTGGTTCTCTGAAAGAGTTAACAAAATTGATAAACCCCTACCCAGACGTATCAAAAAGAGAAAGGACTCAAATAGATAAAATCACAAATGAAAGAGGAGAGATCACAACCAACACCAAAGAAATACAAATGATCATAAGAGAATACCATGAAAAATTACATTTTAACAAAATAGGCAATCTGGAAGAAATGGAAAAATTCCCAGAAATTCACAAACTACCAAAACTAAAGCAGAAAGAAATTTGAATAGGCCCATAACCAGCAAAGAAATTGAATCAGTAATCAAAAATCTCCCAACAAACAAGAGTCCTGTGCCAGATGGCTTCCCAGAGAAATTCTACCAAATATATTTTTTTTATTGTTTATTTATTTTTGACACACAGAGAGACAGAGCATGAGCAGGAGAGGGGCAGAGAGAGACACACACACAGAATCTGAAGCAGGTTCCAGGCTCTGAGCTGTCAGCACAGAGCCCGATGCGGGGCTCAAACTCACAGACCGTGAGATCATGATCTGAGCCGAAGTCGGATGCTCAACCAACTGAGCCACCCAGGCGCCCCTCTACCAAACATTTAAAGCATGGTTAATACCTATTCGTCTCAAACTGTTCTAAAAAATAGAAATAGAAGGATAACTTCCAAACTCATTCTATGAAGCCAGCATTACTTTGATTCCCAAACTGGACAAAGACCCTGCTAAAAAGAATTACAGGCCAATATCCCTGATGAACATGAATGTATTAGCAAATCAAAATCAACAGTACATGAAAAGAATTATTCACCATGATCAAGTGGGATTTATTCCTGGGTTGCTGGGGTGGTTCAATATCCACAAATTAATCACTGTGATACACCACATTAATAAAAGGAAGGATGAAAACTATAAGATCCTGTCAATAGATGCAGAAAAAGCATCTGACAAAATAAAGCATCCATTCTTAATAAAAACGTCCATAAAGTTTGGATAAATGGAACATACCTCAACACAATAAAAGCCATATACAAAAGACCCATAGCTAATATCATCCTCAATGGGGAAAAACTGAGAACCTTTCTCCTACAGTCAGAAATAAGACACAGATGTCCACTCTCACCATTACTATTTAACATAGTATTGGAAGTCTTAGCCTCAGCAATCAGACAACAAAAAGAAAATGTATCCAAATCAGCAAGAAAGAAGTCAAACTTCACTCTTCACAGACAACATGACACTCGATGGAGAAAACCCAAAAGATTCTACCAAAACATTGCTATAACCAACACATGAATTCAGCAACATCTCAGGATATAAAATCAATGTGCAGAATCTGTTGCATTTCTGTATGCCAATAATGATGCAGCAGAAAAAAAAAAAAAAATCAAGGAATCGATCCCATTTGCAATTGCACCAGACACAATAAGATACCTAGGAATAAATTAATGAGGTAAAAGATCTATACTCTGAAAATTATAGAACAATTTTAAAATAAATTGAAGAGGACACAAAGAAATGGAAAAGCATTCCATGTTCATGAACTAGAAGAAAAAGCATTGTTAAAATGTCTACACTACCCAAAGTAATCTACACATTTAATGCAATTCCTATCAAACTACCACCAGCATTTTTCACAGAGCTAGAGCAAACAATCTTAAAATCTGTATGAAACCAAAAAAGACCCTAAAGAGTCAAAGCAATCCTGAAAAAGAAAATTAAAACTGGAGGCATCACGAATCCAGATTTCAAGCTGTATTAAAAAGCTATTGCAAAGACAGTATAGTACTAGCACAAAAACAGACACAGATCAATGGAACAGAACAGAAAACCCAGAAATGGACCCACAACTACATGGTCAACTAATCTTTGACAAAGCAGGAAAGAATATGCAATGGAAAAAGAGACAGTCTCTACAACAAATGGTGTTGGGAAAACTGGACCATTTTCTTACACCATACACAAAAATAAATTCAAACTGCATGAAAGACCTAATGTGAGATAGGAAACCACCAAAATCCTAGAGAAGAACACCAGCAGAAACCTCTTCAGCCTCAGCTGTAGCAACTTCTTCTAGACATGTCACCAAAGGCAAGCGAAACATAAGCAAAAATGATCTATTGGGACCTTAGCAAGATAAAAAGCTTCTGCACAGTGAAGGAATCAATCAGCAAAACTAAAAGGCAACTGACGGAATGGGAGAAGATACTTGCAAATGTCATATCAGGTAAAGGGTTAGGATCCAAAATCTGTAAATAACTGATCAAACTCAACACCCAAAAAACAAATAATCCAGTGAAGAAATGGACAGAAGACATGCATAGTCATTTTTCCAAAGAAGACATCCAGATGGCTAACAGACACTTGAAAAGATGCTCAACATCACTCATCATCAGGGAAATACAAATCAAAACCACAGTGTGATATCACCTTACACCTGTAAGAATGGCTAAAATTAACAACACAATAAACAACAGGTGGTGGTGAGGATGCAGAGAAAGGGGAACCCTCTTGCACTGCTGGCGGGAATACAAACTGGTGCAGCCACCAGTGTGGGATACAAAAATACAGATTCGAAGGGGTACATGCACCTGAATGTTTATAGCAGCATTTATCAACAATTGCCAAACTATGCAGAGAGCCCAAATATCTATCAATTGATGAATGGATAAAGATGTGGTATGTGTGTATACACACAAACATATATGGAATATATACACATATAAGGGAATATTATATATGTGTGTATACACACACACACACACATACACACACACACACATATATATACAATGAAATATTAGCCATCAAAAAGAATGAAATCTTGCCATTTGCAATGACATGAAGCTAGAATATATTATGCTCAGTGAAATAAGTCACCCAGGGAAAGACAAATACCATATGATTTCACTTAGGTGTGGAATTTGAGAAACAAAACAGATGAACATATTGGAAGGGGTGGGGGAGAGAAGAGATGGAAACAAACCACAAGAGACTCCTGATAGATAACAAACTGGGTTGACAGAAGGTGGTGAGTGGGAGAT